CAATCCCTAGCTACGCTGGAGGAGGAGCTTTTCCAGCATCACCGTATTCTTCTGCATTATTTTTCCGTGTTGAAGTTTTGGTTGCTTGGACTCCCGGTTCTCGCTCAGAAACATTACTTGGCGAGAGCTTTCCCTGTTTTGCCGAGTCACTGCCGAAGTTGTAAAGGCTGAGACGGTGACACACTGATCGGGTCTTGACCAGGAACATGAGTGCATCAGGTAAGGGTCACTGTCCCAGCAGTTGGAAACACACACACACACACACACACACCCAGACACACACTGCCCCTCCTGCAATGAGTCAGTGAGGCCAGAGCAAGGGACAGGGAGAGAGGCAAGGAGACAAAGTGAAGGTGGGCGGGGGGGAGGGAATGGAAATAGAGGGAGTGAGAGAGAGAGAAAAGAAAGACACAGCAAGATTCGCAGAGGGGCACACAGGGAGAGATGCAGATATCTAGAAATATAGAGAGATTAGGAATGAGAGAATCAGGGAGAGAGAGAGATGGGGAGACAGAGAGGGAGGCAGACACACCGAGAGAGAGAGGTAGAGAGAGATAGGGAGAGATAGAGATGGAGACAGAGACAGAGGGAGAGACTGAGAGATAGGGACAGGCAGAAAGAGAGGCAGAGACAGACAGGAAGTGACTGAGAGACAGGGAGAGAGAGAAAGAGACAGAGAGAGAGAGATGGAGTGAGAGAGAGAGAGATAGATATGGGGAGGGAGGGGGGGAAGAGAGAGAGATATAGACAGGGAGAGGGAGAGAGAGACATGTGGAGGAAGGGAAAGAGAGAGAGAGAGAGAGACGTGGGGAGGGAGGGAAAGAGAGTGAGGTGTGGGGAGGGAGGGAGAGCGAGAGAGAGAGAGAGATGTGGGGAGGGAGGGAGAGAGAGAGAGATGTGGGGAGGGAGGGAAAGAGAGAGAGAGAGAGAGACGTGGGGAAGGAGGGAGGGAGAGAGAGAGAGATGTGGGGAGGGAGGGAAAGAGAGTGAGGTGTGGGGAGGGAGGGAGAGAGACATGGGGAGGGAGGGAGAGAGAGAGATGTGGGGAGGGAGGGAGAGAGAGAGAGAGACATGGGGAGGGAGGGAGAGAGAGAGAGAGAGACGTGGGGAGGGAGAGAGAGAGATGTGGGGAGGGAGGGAGGGGAACTAAACTGGTAGGGGGATGGGAGCCTCTGCAAGTGTTCAGAGGAAAAGAATTTAGGGACGAGAACCAAAGACGGAGGAATTAAAGACCAGAATCGAACAAGACCACAGTAAACAATAAAGGGAATGGGAGAGGAAACATTAAGGAGAGAATCCCCTAAGACTTTATGTCTGAATGTGCGGAGAATTTAAAACAAAGTTGATGAACGAATTGTACAATTAGATGGAAATGGGTGTGACATAGTTGGGCGATGATTCAATTTGATTTATTATTGTCACAGGTATCTGAATACAGTGAAAAGTTTTGTTTCACTTGCAACACAGACAGATCATAACGTACTAAGTGATAGAAAAGAGCGAGGAAGACAATGTGACGGCTGCAGAGAAGGTGCACAGAGAGGGAGACTGACGTTAGGTTTGAAATTTGAGAGGTCCATTCAGAAGGCTTGCATGACTGGGCTGTGTGCACAGCTCTGCAGTTTCTTACTACAGGTCCTGTTTGCTGTGCAAAGCTGTGATAGAATGCTTCTTATGGTGTGCATCTATAAAAGCCATGGACCTGCTGCATTTCCTTAGCCTCCTGAGGGAGTAGAGGCGTTGTTGTACCTTCTTGACCGTTGCATCAATGTGGGAGGACAGATTATTGGTGATCGTCACCTCCTAGGAACTTGACGCTCTCGAATATCTCCACCTCAGCAACACTGACAGGGGACGTGCCTTCCTTCCTGAAGCTGATGACCAGCTCTTTAGCTTTTCTGACATTGAGGGCGAGATTGCTATCTTTACACCTTTGTTAATGGAGACGTGGTGTGCGTAGGAACTGAAGATCCAGGATTAACCAGTACTTAGGAAGGCCAGACAGAAAGGAAAAGGCAAAGGTGTCACCTTATTGTTTAAAGAGGGTATAAGCACAGTATCAAGGCAAGATATTAGCTCAGGCAATATACAATCTGTGTAGGGAGAAAAGCATTAGTGCGCCAAACTGTAGTGATGTTGGAAGTGGCATTAAACAGGCAGTCAGAGATGTGTGCAGTAAAGGAACATTTGTGATTAACCTGCATTGAGATTGAGTGGGTCGAATTTGTCGCAATACCTTGGAGGAGAAATTGTAGAGTGTAAACAATGACTGTTTTCTCGACCAATATGTTGAGGAGCCCACGAGAGAACAAGTTACTTTAGACTGGGTGTTACATAATGGTAATTGGCATTGTAGTTATGAGAGGCCTCTCGGGGATGAGTGATCATAACATGATAGAGTTCTGCATCAAGGTGGAGAGTGATTCTGAGACTAGAGTCCTGAATCTTAGTAAGGGAAACTACGATGGTATGAGGCACGAGTTGGCCACGATGGGCTGGGAAAGGAGTCACAGTGGACAGAAAATGGCAAATATTTAAAGAGCGAATGGGTGATCTACAAAAAAATAGTTTGGTCCTCTCTGGTGCAAGAGTGCAAACAGAACTGTGGCCAAAACCACAAATTACCAGGGAAGTTAGAGATAGTATCACATGCAAACAAAAGAGGCATACACAATTGGGAACAGTTTAGAAATCAGCAAAGGGGGACCAAGAGACTGATTAAGAAAGGGGACGACCGAGGCGTGTGGGAGTAAGCTTGCAGAGGACGTAAGAGTTGACCGTAAATATTTCCAAAGTTATGGGAAGGGAAAAAGATTGGTGAAAACTATTGGAGGTCCCTTGCAGTCAGAAATGGGGGAGTTTATAAAGAAGTGGCTGACAAACTAAATTCACACTTCGCTCCTGTCTTCACAAAGGCAGACACGAATAATGTACTGGGAATGTTGAGGAACACAGGATTTAGTGAGAGAGAGAGAGGGGGGGGACTACCACAAATCTGTGTTGGTCGAGAAATGACGCTGAAGAAATTAAAGGCGTTGAAGGCTGATAAATCCCAAGGGTCTGATAATCTGCATCCCAGAATGTTTAAGGAAGTGACCCTAGAAATAACGGATGCACTGGTGGTCACCTTCTGATTTATTTTTAAGACTCTGGGACAGTTCTGACAGCTCGGAGGGAAACTAATGTAACCCCACTTTTTAAAAAGGGGGGGATGGAGAGAATGTAGGAAATTGTAGACCAGTGAGGCTGACATTGGGAGTGGGGAAGACGGGAGAGTCCAATATCAAGGATTTTATAGCAGAGCACTTAGAAAACAGTCGGAGATTCAGACATAGTCAGCAAGGATTTACAAAAGGGAAACCATTCCTTAACAAATCAACTGGGATTGTTCGGGGGAAGCCAGTGGGTGTGGTGTATTTACACTTCCGGAAGGCTTTCGGCATGGAAGGCTAATGTGTAAAATTAAAGCACGCGGGGTTGGGGGAAGAGTATTGAGATGGACGGGAGATTGATTTGCAAGCAGGAAACAAAGTGAAGGAATCCTTGGGACTTTTCCTGAGTAACCAGGCAGTGACTTGTGGGCTACGGTAGGGATCACCACTAGGACCCCAGCTATCCACGATAGATGTTAAAGATTTAGATCAGGGACCTGAATGGAATATGTGCGGAAGTGAGAGGGAGGGACAAGATACTGAGAGAGTGAGTGCGAGAGAGAGAGAGCGTGAAGGCAAAGATATAGCAAGACAAAGAGAGAGAGGAGGAAACGCAGGGACAGAGAGAGGAATGTAGAAAATGTAAAACATAATTCAAGGCATCAAAGCAGAATGCTAAAGCATGATTGTCCACTATTTGTTCCTGTTGGTCTCTCCGTCAATTTCATTCTCCTTGTCTGTTTCACTCACACAGCCTTGCTGTATGATCGGAAGGGGCCGAATATGTTTTGCCCCTGCCCCGTTCGTGAGGTTTCAGTGTTTGTATGGTCCAGGTGCTTGTTGGGGAGCGCCTCTCCTACCTGAACTTTGTACATCACAGGACCTGGACCTGGCACCGACCTCCCCTCTTACCCATGCAGGGCCTTGCCTTGACAACAAACTTCATCTCCCCCGAAATAAACTGGTCTCTCTCTCTCTCTCTCTCGCTCAGAGGAGCCCTGTGCCTGGCATTGGTGTCCTTGATGCCAATCCCGCCCCCCCCAGGACCGGGAGGGTCAGGTCTAAGCTGGTACAGAGCCTTCTCTCCATCAGCATCTCCGCTGGAGACGTCCCTGTCGTTTGCTTGAACCTGCACTCAAACAGGAACTGGGGACAGTTTGGCATCGAGTGAAGCTCCAGCTCGGCTGTTTCCTGAAGCCCGCTTTCGAAGTTTCGACCGCTCTTTCCGCCAGACCATTGGTTGCTGGATGGGACGGAGCTATTCGAATTCAGGGACTGCTCGGTTTCCCCGGCTGGTCGCCCGTTGTCCGGGACCAACGCTTCCCAGAGTCGGAATACAGCAATAGATGCTTCCAACTTTTCGGGCATCGTCCCTGAGTTCGACGACGAGCGCGTGCGTCGGCGTTGACCGGGAGCACTGAGCCAATGAAAGGGCCGGTTTGTTGACATGTGACTGAGTCTGGGGTCTCCCTGGCCCCTCCCACTAATGTTGGGGGAGGTGGGGACAACCGCTGGCAATTTCTATCCTTGTTGGCGCTCCGGGCACTGCCCCTCCAGCGCGGCTATGTTGGCATCCAATCTCTAGCCTAGCTTTTTGCCAACATCTTCATCCTGGAAACCCACCCCCAACCCCCCTCCTGGGTGGAGTTTGGCCAGTATCCAGCGGTGACTGATCGCTCTGGCTCCCCAAAGCAATGTGCTGTCCTCTCTGCGGCGGTCTCCCCTTTCACCGGCTCCAGGAAGGGCTCAGTCCTGTTTGTGAAGGCCCTATTGTTGCCCCCAGCTCTTTGCCAGGGGGCCCTGATCTTTTTATGCGTCCACAGTTGCATGCGGTCAGCGGTGAGCGGAAGGGTGTCTGGAAAGTTTAAAACCAGAACGGACTTTGCTGTGGCGTATCCGCCGGCAATGGCTTCCCGGGCCATGTTCCAACTCGTAATTACATCGACTCAAAATAAGAGGCCACCTCTTATACCTGAAACCACGGGCAGCACGGCCTTGTTCTCTTTGAGTAACCCTGGCAGGGGGTTTGCGCTCCGTTACTGTTACAAACACAACATCCATAAAGGTGCGGGCGGAACTTTCTCACAACAAAGACGGCCGCCAAACCTTCCTTCTCTATCTGGGCGTATTCGCCAAAGTCCGGGAAGCATTTGCCGTCGGGTGTTGCAGCGGTGAGCCAACGGTACGCCGATACTGTACGGGATGGGACGGAGTTGGGAGGGTATCGCATGTCAGGGCTGCTTCTCCGTTCGGATCGTAGTAGGCCAACACCTTAGATGACACCACCTGTTTCTTCACTTCACTACATCTTGGCGACGTGACCATTTCCAAGGCTTGGCATTTTCTCAACAGCGAATTTCAGGGTGTCAGGATAGAGGCAAGCGTTTTCCAGGATAATTCGCCAATCCAAGTTAAGGCCTAAGTGGACATGGGAGCCAGGCTATCTCTGGCCTCCCTCGCTTTGCCTTCCAACGGGTGTGGCCCGGTCCTGTCGACTCTGTGACCCACATAGGTCACAGTGGAACGCACGGTTTTCCCCTCGTAACCCCACCTTGGAGAAAACGTTTAAGCGCGGTGCCCAAGCGTCCCCCCACCCCAAATGCTCCTTATTGGTCTTCCAGGTTATTAACATGTTGTCCACATAAATGGCGGCCTGGAGGGGACCCCGTAAAATGTTCTCCATTGTCGGCTGGAAAATGGCCGAATCCGCACCAAGGCGATTCTACCCATCAGGCTTTCCCATCGGTACGAACGCATCGCAAATTGCACTGGTTTGGTGATTCCTTCGTTTTCCAGTCTCCCTGATTTCTGCCTCTACTTTTGCCCATAAGGCATTGGGCAGGGTCTCACAGAATCATGGGATTGCTTCCTGGTCAACTTGCAAGGTGGCCTTGTCTCCTTTGACAGCCCCTAGACCTCCCTGAAAAGCTTCCGGCTATTTATTTAGGACTTCCCTCAGGCAGCCGTTTACGAAGTGAGAAATGTTGAGCCAATCCTAGTGAATCTGTCTCAACCAATTTCGCTCCTATCGAGCCTGGGCCTGAGCCTTTTACTACACTCGGTGGTCACTGAACCAGCTGCTTTTCCTCAGAGACTGGAAGCAAAGCTGTCCCCTTAATCTGTAAAGGTTCCCTGGTTCTCAGTCTAGGAGAGAACTTAAGGGTTGGGTTCCAGAGTGATTTGGTTAAACGCTGGTTCTGCGATCACTGATATTGACCTGCATTAGAGGGGACCGTTTAACCAGATGTTTATTTTGATTGGCTTTGATTTGGACGTTGCTAAGCAGTTTAACTGGCCCCAAAACAGATCTAGATGGACTTTCCAGGGTGTGCACTCTCCTGGGTATTGACCTATGAGTTCTCTTGCTCAATTCAGATGTAGTGGAATTCTTTTGCTGTCTTGAGTCCACAAACTAGCAATAACTGCAATGGCTTGCTGGCCTGGATCCTGACCAAAATTTTAATTGTTCGGCCGAGGCTAGGATTTGTTTTGTGACTTTGCTGTGAGCTGACCTGGAGCCCTGCTCTTCAGGGTACGTACTGAGTGAGGCCAAGTAATCACCTTCACTCAAGTGACGTTCCCCAAGCTCAGTTGGACAGGAGAGGGTATCCACTTACATCAGAATTGCCTGCAACTCATATGCCCCACTTGCCGTATTTTCCAATGATAAAGCCACTTGTAAGCTGGTAGGTGTTTCCACATGGTTACATCATTCATCCCACATACCTATGGTCTCTCGGCATCTCATTAAGGGTTAAACGGTCTCTCAGCATCTCAGAAAGGGTTAAACCAAAGTCACATGCCTCTGCCATTCGTCTTAACCTCATCAAAAATCCCGATACCGATTCCCCCGTTGAGTAAAACTGACAGCGTCTCAGAATTAGAGGGGGCTTGGGGTCGTAAGTGTTATAAAGTGGAACTTGCCCCCTCCCCACTCTGAGAACAAAAACCAAAACACCGAAGGAGGAGCAGCTCACCCTATAATCTGTAAAACGAATGTGAAAAGTGGTGTAACCTGCCTTTCAGCAGCTTCTAGAGGCAAAATAAAATAAACCTCTGGCACTCACTTTACAACCAACAAGTAACTATTTATTTATCTAACTCTAACAGTGAGCAAATTAACTAAACTATTAACAAACTGAATAAACCCCTTTTAACTACTCACCTTCCAATAAACAGAAGTCTCACTTATACAAAATATTTTTTTTTTAAAATGTAGAATTTAGTCTCTCGAAATTACAGCCAGATTACACGCTTACCGGAATGTTCTGTGCCTTCTGCGTCGAATGTTCTGTCAGGAATATCTTTTGTGTTGACCTTTCTGTCAGGAATTAACAAGTTGTGTTGTTAGTACCCTTGACATTTAGATGGTGCTTTCTCTAATACTTACAGGGGTCTGTGAGAGCCAGCAATTCTCTCTTGAGAGCTGAGAGCTGTTAACTCTGGCAGATGGCAGTTAATTCTCCTGTCTCTGTCCAACTTCGGTCATCTTTTATACCCCTGATGACATATCAATTTCTTACAATCGAATGGTCCTAGGTTGTCAAAACCATCAGACTTAAATTTAATTGGTTTTTGGTATCTAAGCACCTGGTTCAAAGTTAATGGCTAAATTCAAAAACCTGGTTGCCTCAGTAAAAATGGTGCTTGGCCTGTATGGCCTTTCAATACAAATATTTTAATTCAGGTGCTCTCTCTACTTGCAAATTTTCAAGCTGCTCACAGACATCTCCAAGCATAGAAAAAAGCACAATCTTTCAAAGGGACCACGCGATGCTTTTTACAAATGCCAAATTCTAACGCACTGTCTCCCAATCCACAAATGCTCTACCCAACTTCGTAACAGTAAGATTCCTTAGCTAAATCCTCAACTCTCGAAAGGTTTTAGTACCTGGTGCCTCGGGGACAGTCAGACTCCTAATAACTGAAAAAGCTGCAGGTCCACAAGCTGTCAGGAGAATTGTTCGTTGCTTTTCACCTGCCCCAATGTCATTTGCCCAGAAAAAAGTGACGCCTCCTTTCCACATACTGAGCCCAGATTTGGACAGCAGGATGGAAAGAGTCAAATAACAGCATGATTTCAGAAATGTTTACCCCCAGCTATAGCAATCGAATCTCCTCAGGGACTGTGTTTTTCTCTTGTTGCAATTGAAATAGCTCCACAGAGGCTGGTATCTGTCACCAAGTCACCTTTTATTTACACACGGAAAATCCTTGACACTGACCCAACTCTCAGAGTGAACAGGACCCCTGACCCTCCTGTTTATACCTGTCAGCCAGGGCTCCCTGATTGGACCAGGTTAACAGCCCCAATCAGGGATCCCATAATCTGTGAGATCCTCCTGGCTGGCCTCGTTTCTGTGTATCTCTGCTCATCTCTCCCTCCCTGCCTGCCTCTCTATTGCTACCACAGTCTCTAACTCTGTGTCGTCAGCTTCCTCTTGTCAGACACCAGACCAGAACCCCTCAAAGTATTTGAAGGAGGTAGCCTGGACCCTAACCTTTTCCAATTTTGAAGGTAAACATGAAGTGCTGTGTTCCAGATGTAATGTGAATGTTACTCGACGCTAAACAAAATACAATTTATTTAAACACGACAGTAACAAAAAAAGGAGGACTTAGAATAATTTAATTCAATTGGAAAGCTTACTAATAGACAGAGTAACTGTTAACATAGAACATAGAACATTACAGCGCAGCACAGGCCCTTCGGCCCTCGATGTTGCGCCGACCTGTGAAAACCAATCTGAAGCCCATCTAACCTAAACTATTCCATTATCATCCATATGTTTATCCAATGACCATTTAAATGCCCTTAAAGTTGGCGAGTCTACTACTGTTGCAGGCAGGGCATTCCACGCCCTTACTACTCTCTGAGTAAAGAACCTACCTCTGACATCTGTCCTATACCTATCACCCCTCAATTTAAAGCTATGTCCCCTCGTGCTAGCCATCACCATCTGAGGAAAAAGGCTCCCACTGTCCACCCTATCTAATCCTCTGATCATCTTGTTAACAGTTCCAATGTAACAACATCCCATACACACACCACCTTGGCCAAAAGGCAGATCCAGAAAACTAGATTTTGTCTCACAGGTAACCCAGCAGCAGAGAGGAATCCCCAGCTTCCAGCTGTAACCGAGAAAGGGAAAAGATAGCTCCTGCAACTTCAAAACCCCAGCAGCTTCTGGAGACTCCACCTGCAACTGAGGTTGAATCTCAAAGCAGAAGAAACTAAAAACTAGAATCCCTGGACTGTGAGAGCTGGTCACACCCAGCCAGGCTGCTTCTATTGTTCCAACATTTTTAAAAAAATCCAAGGCCACACAAACTGTTTACGTTACCACAGACAGATCTTCACCTCTCGTTCAATCTCTCTCTTAAAAGAAACAAGAACAAAATGCACCACTTAAATTGCCACAACTTGTTCATAGAGCCATACAGCACGGAAACAGACCCTTCAGTTCAATCAATCCATGCCAAATATTATTCCAAATTAAAGTAGTCCCACCTGCCTGCTCCTGGCCCATATCCCTCCAAACCCTTCCCTATTCATGTTCTTATCCAAATTTCTTTTCAAAGTAGTCACTGTAGCCAAATCCATCTCTTCTTCAGGACTTTCATTCCACACACGATCCCCCCTCTGCGTAAAACAATTCTCTCCACAGAAGTCTCTCTCTGTCTCCGCCTCCATCTCTCTCAGTTTCTCTGTCCTTGCCTCTCTCTCTTTCTCTCATTCATTGTCTCTTTCTATCACTCTCACTCTCTT